GCACTACGTAACGATAGAATCCCTGTGGATCGATAATCTTAAATATTACTTCGATAGGCTGTGCACTTGCAGTAAGATACCGCTAGACGCATAAGTAGACACGTCTTTAGCCCATCATACACCATCCCTTCCTGATTCTTTTTCATAAATCCAGAAGGTTGTGACACGTAAACTTCTTCTTCTAATGGACCGTTCAGAAATGCAGATTTTACATCTAAATGCATCAGAGGCCAATTCCTGTTAGCAGCTATTGCAATCACCATTCTGATTGTTTCATGTCTTGCTACAGGTGCAAACACTTCAGAGTAATCCAACCCAGGTTTTTGTAGAAATCCTCTGTCTACCAACCTTGCTTTATGTTTGCCAATTGAGCCATCTGGCTTTAACTTCTGCTTGAAAACCCATCTGACGCTGATGGCTCTTTTGGAAGTTCTGTCAGCTTCCAAGTCTTGTTTCTCTCTATAGCATCAAGTTCTTCTTTCATGGCCTTCAGCCAGAGCTTCTGCTTAAGAGCCTCCTATGTACTTATAGGTTCAGAGTCTACTAACATGGCACACTGAATAACTTCTTCTTCAGAGTCTACTTCAGTGTCTTGCAGCATGTCAAACTCTACAAATCTTCTGGGAACGCTTCTGATTCTTTGTGGTCTCTGAACTTGTTCAGAGTCTTGAGCTTCAGAGTTTCCAGCTTCAGATGGTTGACTTCCTCTAGAGTTTTGACCATCTTCAAGATCTGGCATATTTTCAGAGTCTTGGCCATCTTCAGAGTCTGAATTGCCACCAGAATCTGGATTACCATCAGAGTCTGGATCATCAGAGTCACCTTCATCTTCTGAGTCTTCTCCAGAGTCAGAATCACTATCAGAGTCAGAATCAACGTCAGAGTTTACTTCAACTTCAGAAATGCTTAACTCTGACCTTTCTTCAGAAGTTCTAACATCAGAATCAGATTGAGACTTATCCCAATTCCAAACTTCTGATTCCTTCACAATCACATCTCTGCTGAATTCAATTTTATTGGTTTCTGGACAATAGAGCTTGTATGCACCTGTACTGTGGTACCCTATCAGAATCATCACTTTGCTTCTATCATCCAGCTTCTGTCTTCTGGCTTCTGGAACATGTTTATAGCAAACAGAACCAAACACCTTCAGATGACTAACACGTTGCTTGTCTCCAGTCCACTTCTGCATAGGAACTATTTCCTTCAACTTCTTCGTAGGACATTTGTTGAGTACATACGTTGCAGTGGCAACAGCTTCTCCCCAGAGCTTCTGAGGAAGCTTCTTCTCCTTTAGCATGCTTCTCACCATATCAAGCAAAGTACGGTTTCTTCTTTCAGCAAGACCATTGTGTTGAGGGGTATAAGGAGCAGTAACCTCATGCTCAATTCCATTCTCCTCACAGAACTTCTGGAACTCTTTGGAGTTATACTCACCTCCACCATCTGTTCTAAGAATCTTCAACTTCTGACCACTCTGATTCTCAGCCTTCATTCTGAATTTCTTGAATTCATCAAACACCTCATGTTTGAACTTAATAAGGGATACCCATGTCATTCTTGTGAATTCATCAACAAATAACACAAAGTATTTATTCCCTCCAATTGATGCTACTGGAAATGGACCACACACATCAGAATGTACAACTCCCAAAGCATGTTTTGCTCTTGGAGCAGCTTTTGACGCAAATGGCAATCGTGGTTGTTTTCCTTCCATGCAAACTTTGCATGATTTTTCAGGCTTCTTAATTGCAGGAATTCCATGTACCAACTTCTTTGAATTCAGATGTTTTAAGCTTCTGAAATTCAAATGACCAAATCTTCTGTGCCACAGCTCACTCTCCTTCTCAGCACATGTTGCACTAAGACATTCTGAGTCTGCAGTTCTGACATTCACCTTGAATGTTCTATTCCTTCCCTGTTCTGACTCCATAATCAGCTTCTGATTGCAGTCATACAGCTTCAGAAGATTGTCCTTCATGGTAACTGAAAAACCTTTCTCAATTAATTGTCCCACACTCATCAGATTGCTTCTGATGTCAGGTACATACCACATGTTCTGAATCAATGTTGTTTTCCCATTGTTCAGAATCACTCTGACATTTCCCATACCTTCTGCATTAAGATATTTGTCATCAGCACATCTGATCTTTGTTCTCTTTTCAGAGTCAAAGTCAACCAGCCATTTCTTGTTTCCAGTAAGATGATTTGAGCAGCCATTGTCCATATACCACCAGTCTATTAGATCCATATTATCAGATTCAGAAGCCATCAATAGCACAGATTCGTCATCAGAACTTCTGGCTATATTTGCTTCTTCTGATTTTCTCTCCTTGTTTGACCAACAATCTCTAGCAAAGTGACCAAACTTCTTACAACAGTAACATTGGATCTTCTTCTTGTCATACTTCTCTTTTTCCTTCTGAGCATTCTTTTTCCTATCAGAGGTTGAGCTTTCTGACTTCTGACAACCATCAGATCTTCTCTTGGCTTCTGACTGCTTCTGATACCTCCTATCAGAAGTTGCTTTCAGAGCCTGCTGCTCTACTTCCCTTTCAGAAGTTCTCTCAGTCAAACGCAACTCTTGCGCTTCTAAACTGCTCTGCAGCTCTTCAATTCTCATGGTACTCAGATCTTTGGAATGTTCTATTGCTACCACAATGTAATCAAATTGAGAGGTAAGGGATCTCAATACCTTCTCCATGATTGTTTCTTCAGAAAGAGTTTCTCCACACGCCTTCATCTCATTAGTGATCAGAATCACTCTGGAGATGTATTCAGAAACTTTCTCATTATTCTTCATGTTGAGATTCTCATATTGCTTTCTCAAGGACTGAAGCTTCACCTTATTCACTGATGCGTCACCACCATAACATCTCACTAGTGTGTCCCACGCAGCCTTTGCTGTTGTTGAATCTGCAATCTTCTCAAACACATTTACATCCACACATTGATGAATGAAGAACAATGCTTTCTGATCCTTCTTCCTTACTTCCTTCTGCGCGTTTTTCTGTTCATCTGTTGCATTTGCTGCTACTGGAACATAACCATCAGTGACAAGATCTAGAACATCTTGAGCACCAAATAGTACACGCATTTGGATCATCCAACGATTCCAGTTTTTACCATCAAATACTGGAAGTTTGGTGTTCATGTTGCCGTTTCCGTTCATCTTCTACCTTGCACAATACACTCAGATTTCTCACACAGTATTTCCCAACCCACAGAATAAAATTCTGATCAGATTTTGTTCAAGATTCAACACGAATCTAAGAATCAAAATCAAACACACAAGACCTCACGTTCACTCGTGAATCAAAATCAAACACACAAGACCTCACGTTCACTCGTGTTTCCCGTGTTTCCCAATGAATCTGAACCGGAGCTCTGATACCAATTGTTGGTGCAAAGGTAGAATAAATGATGAAAAGGAGAAAATATTCTATTAAGAATGACGGCTACAAAAACATGATTAAAAGTTACAATGATTGTCATCCTATTTATAAGCTAAAACTAGGGTTACTAGAATAAGATAAAATACTAAAATACCCTCTAACAAACTTAGGGGCTAAGAAAATAGTACAACTAAATAAATATGAATTACTATTAATATTCTAATAAAAAGTGGGATAGAAATTTTTTGAGCAGATTGAAAAATAGAAGAATGATGAAGATGAATCAATTATACCAGAGAAAGAAAAGATTCCAAAGTCTGTGATAAAACTTCTTTATCTTCAAAGAGTAAAAAAAACTTAAAGATGAAAGACGTTTCGGAAACTGTTTGAAAATGTTCAATAAGCTGAATATCAATATTCCATTTGGGAAAGCAGTGGAACATACGTTAACTTATGCAAAATCCATTAAGAATATCATCTCTAAATATAAGAAAGTAAAGTAAGAAAATGTGATATTGTTTGAGAAATGCATTGTCATCTTACAAAGAAAATAAATATTCATAAACCAAAAAGACCATTTGTGTGACACCATCACTGGTACAATTGGGAATAAAACATTCAAGAAATACCTCATTGATCTTGGTGCCAAAATGTAATGTGATTATTTATTTACAAGAAACCATGTATTGCAAAAGTGAATGACACAATAATGACACTCAAGTTCACAAATAATTCTAAAAGTGGAGGATGAAGCAGGTAAGCTAATATTTATCTTGTGTAATGTTGATTGTATCAATACATCTTTGATTTAAATTTTTCATAAGTCAAATACAATTTTTACATCAATTTTCTTTATACCCTAAACTGCACAGTAAAACTTGTGACTACAACTCAACTGGATTGAATCAAAAGTTTTAATACCAATTGGTTGAAAGAATTGGCAACGAGAAAATAAAAGAACAAAGACACACCAGACATAACGTAAAACTCTAAAATTGAAAGAAAAAAAACCACGGTGACTATCAAATAAAAATTAGAAAATAACACTATACAAAAATTGTTACAACACATAATTTACTCTCAACCACTTTCAGATCTCCAGTACACTAACACTTTCCAAAACAAATATTTAACTTTTTCAAGTTTTATAAGCAAATTTTGATGTAAATATTGCAACACTTCAGTTTAAATAATTCTTGCACCATTTTTTCAAAACAGTTTAACCATGAAGAGTCATCTATAAGAGTGCTTGAAGAAAATAGTAGCAATGAAAGCACTATATAAAATTAAACCTGATCAAGGGATAAGCTATGTTTAAATTTATTTATAACAAATGCATTGGTTTTGAGACTTGAATGGCCATCTCATCCAAACTTGTTGATAGTAAAATTTGAAGAGAATTATTACATGAAAACAACATGCAATCCTACAAAATAGATTGCAATCATAAGAAGCTAGTATCTGTGAAATATTTTCATTTGTGTAACTTATATGTTTTCTCCTTTGAAAAAATGTAACTACTAAATCCTAGTTAGTAAAATGAAAATATAAGGGCCTTTATTTTCCACAATTTCAACTGCATTTGGTCCATGTAATTGATTGAGCTCATGATGACTCTAAACTTTTGACGAACTTTTTAGTCTGTATAAGAAGAAAGAAATAAATAAGTGAGAAAAGAAACACAAATGCATAGCTAAAGTTTGTGGAATATTTTTTCTGTTACAGTACATACTGTGATAGTTATTAGAATATTACATAATTTGCATTTTAATAGGCTAATTTCCATTTCTGTTTTGTCTTTTATGAGTTGGCTCGTTTCTATATTATGAGCAAAGATTCAATAAATGAATCATCTATTGTTATCAGAAATACTATCTTCTCTAAAACTCTAATTCTCTCTACACTTATTTTCTCTTTACAGCAGACTTTGTTCTAAGCTGCTAGAGTCTATGAGAATTGGATTTTTTGGAATCACCTGGCAGTTTAATGACTGTACAGCCCGGGCTCTCATTTAAGCATTTCGCCCTTGGAAGCCTCATGCTTGAGGGGTTGTGTATAATCTGGTCTCTCATTTAAAGTACTTCGCCCTTGGTGGCCTCAAGCTTGAGAGACTGTATACATGCCCGGTCTCTTCAGAACCGGGATAGTGACGTTCAGGTTACAGCCCGCCCCGAATCTTAGCTAGCCCGGTAGAGGGAAGCCGGAGTGGATCAGGTTAATGGGTCAGGCCGATCTTTCTGGCCAAAGGCTGACAAGGCTGAGGTCATCGAATTTGACGACCCGAGGTATTCGGATATGGTATTTATGGCTAATTGGTACCATTATGGTCAAAGATCTAATATTAAGGCGTGATTTCAATTATCATTAAGAGGCCACCCCAAACCGGGACAATCGCCTTAATGACATTTATTGAACTTTAACTACTAATTGGATCAGAGCGACTATATAAGAAGAATGGCAGCAAGGAAAAAGAGAGATAAATCTTATACGACTGAGCTTCACTGGTTCGACCCCAATGAAGTACCAATGATGTATTTTTTACAGTAACTAACTTCCTTTTCTAACTAACTTCTATTTTTGACTTACTAAAAGTTGTTACAAATATTAATTCCCCCTAATTAATGGGTTACTAACATATTTCTATAACAAGCTACCTTCAGGTTGCAAACTCAGGTGTTTTTCTTATTGATGCCAACACGGACAAAGAAAATGGGACTATTAATGTGGTAAGTGAATCATCTTTAAAAGAGTCCCTAAGAGAGAGGTTCATTTTGTTTGGGAATTTTGAGTTGAGTTCCTTGAAGCGGCACGAACTAAATTTCAAACATGTTAATGCTATGCATTTCCATGACAACGGTTCCTTCTAAGTGATTTTATCTGACTGTCATCAATATCCTATCGGGGCTGTTCTACAAACAAGTTCATGTCTTCCATTTCTATTCTACTCAAATTGCACCTCTGACCTTAGGCATGGTGTTTGCAAGTGTTCATCTTTGAGGACAAGGGTGTTCTTGAAGAGGAGGATCCTGATAATGCTATTACTACTCTGTATCTAAATATAGGACCTCTTTGAATAAACCATGGAATTTAAGAAAGTTGATTACTGTATTAAACTTGTTGACAATTAATAGTATTGCTTTACAACTTTATTCTTCACCATAACAAGTTAGTTAATGTGTTTAAATAGTATTTATTACAGATTTCATAAAACATGCAACATAGTTAAGGGTGTGATGGTAAAGAATCAATTAGTGCAATTGAAATTTTTTAAAGAGGTCCTATGAAAAAAGGGTCTTATATCTAAGGAAAAAATAATACAAAACTTGCATTTTAATAGTTTAATTTCCATTTAAGTTATGCCTTTTATGAGTTGACAGTTTCAAGATGTTAGAATGAATCTTCCATCATTATCATAACACTAATTTTCTTTCTACATACTTTCTCTTTGCAGCAGACTTTATTTTAAACTATTAGAGTCTGCTCATGAGAACTGGATTTTTTCGGAATCATAGCTAGAATACAATTTCCCGTTTCATTTTCTCAAAGAAAACAGACCTAAAATGCATTTTTCAGAGTATATAATATAGTATGCCATTGTCACATAAACGAGAAAAAAAACAAGAATGAAAGGTAGTAGAGTTTTCATATTCTACCTGTTCTAGGGTTAGAAACATGATCACGTTCCAAGATCCTAGTCGTCCAAAATTTGGGATGAACCCTTTATAAAATGCCAAGGGTCCCTGAGAAACACCAGATCACACAACCAATCAGTTTTGATAAAAGACAACCCTTTCACATTGTAGCCCCTTGTTTGACTCAATTTAAATGTAAATGACAGAAAAGTATATGAAAATGTCTACCTTCTCATTCGAGTAAACTAATCCAAAAGAAAAATTAACAGTTACTTATAAGTTCAGCTAACTAAGCTTGTGTATTATCATAACCAGCATGGTTCTAAAGTGAAGTTTCAGTTGCATGAAAAAGGTGGTCGGCGTAGCCGTAATTGCAGTTGCAATGCCGTTACGGAGAGTTCTAAAATTGTTATATTGCAGCCGCAATTATGGTTATAGATCACAATTAGATATGATAGTAGTCAAAAGAATTTTATGCACCTATCTCAGCAGGAAAGGATTCAGTGTTAATGGTTGTGCCTAAAGCAAAAATGGTGGTAAATGTTTATAACAACAAAATTATAATGAAAGGAAACATACATCATTCTTTAAGGTTTTGACAAAACAATCAAGGGTGCTTTTGTAACTAGAATCTCCCATCATTCTCGACTTGACCTGCATATTCACCAAAAGGAGGATAGAAGAAGATATTAGTGGAGTGGTACTCACAAGCAGGAAGCTCACTTCATCTCTTGCAACCAATATGAAAAATCAAACGAAAAAAATCTAAACACATCGACTCTAATGAACCATAACAAGATCAACTTTTGTCTCAGACAATTTTTAGTAAGTTACTAAAGCTAACTGATTCTACCATTGTGCAATAATTCTAGGATTCTTATCTTATCATATGGTTGATCAAGGAAGAAAATGGAACACAATTCATATCAATTTGCGAAACAATTATATGTTGAAAGCAATAGGAAATATAAAAAGCCAAATCTATAATGCATATTTAGCGAACACATTAACATTACCACATCAACGGGGGAGCCGATACAAACGGCGAAAAACCCTGCCCCAAGGCCAGCAAAGAGATGAGTTACAACATTGTCGGTGAATCCTGGAATTTTCAAAATAGTCTGCACAAATAAAATACAGTTATTCAAAAAGAAAAAGAAAAGTTTGTTATGCAAATCACAATGCATGTTAGCAGTAGAAATTACCTGCTTCACTTGATCATAGCTAGCTAGTTCAGCAGCGTTGATAATACCATTTCTTGCTATGTTGGGGCCAAGACCTGTCCAAAGAGCTCTAACTCCTTCCTAAGTATTAGATGCAGATTTTTAAACCAAAAACAAGTTAGAAACTAAAACAAATAAAATGAATATTCCTCCTTCATAAAGCATGTTAGGTTAAAAGTATAGACCTGTCTCACGATTGATGAATAAGCATTTAAAGATCCAGAGTAGCGCCTGGGAACTCCAGGAGGTAACTTTCCTTCTGCTTGAAGTCTGACTTTGACAAGATCAGTTGGATTCGCCACTGTAATTGCCACAGCACCTGACAAAACAAAATGAAGAGTTGCATGCAATGAGTATCCAGGTTGAGCTAACACAAATGCCTATTGGAAGAAACTAACGGTCTGTTTGCTTTCTATAAACATTTTTCAGTTTTCATTTGATTTGCTGAGTTCTTTTAGAATTACAAACAAAAAAGATAGAAGACTCATGTAGTGAATACTTGTGATAGAGAAAAGATGAAATGCAAGCTAGGAGGAATGCATTTTTATAAAAAATGTTTTGGAATATTCAAAATATCTAAAAACGGTAAATCTGTTTTGAAAAATTGTAAAAGAAAATTGTAGGAAAATATTTGATCAATATTCTTTTATGTTAATTAGATGAAATGTAAATGCAAACAGGTAATATAGAAAGCAAACAGGCCCTAAACAATCCAAATAGTTTAAAATAAATTCATATCATAGCACATGAACAAATTATTCCCTCCAACATCATCATTGAGCTTTACCAGTCGTAAATGCAGCTAGAATTTTCTTTGACAGCGGAACATCACCAACATGGTCACTTCCCATATAGAAAGTCTTAACCTGTTAAAACCCCGGGCTATTCACAGCATCAGATAAATAATCAAACAATACAGATGAGTGAAAATAAGTGAACAAGTTTCTGCAACCAGACTCAAATCTTACAGGCTCATATAACCCAATTCTTAATCCTCCATACAAACACTGACGATGTAGTCCTGGCACAATGCCCTTCCAGAGCGCTGAAAGACCTTCTTCCCTGGCAATTGTTCCAACCGTTCCCAGCAATCCCTTGTATTTAGGTAAGGAGGATACATCACCAGCTACAGCTTGTTTTTGAAGCTGAAGCCTAACTTTGGCAGTGTCCAAAGGTATGGTACAAACCTATTTCAATTATAAGAACTTCTGAGCAAGACTTTCAAAATATAGCTACAATTAGGTATATATTTAAAGCAGTATGAGAACTAACAAATGAACCGGACATGAGAAACACAATAAGTAATGAGCAGTAAATATATGTAAGCGGAATCAATCTCCACTGATAGAAAAATAGGAATAAAATCCACATATTTATGGAATACTTTTGCCAAACAAACCTTCCACAACGTGGAAGATGTTTCCGTAGAAGATAATTTGAAAAAGCAATCGATTCCATTGAAGATTTTTAAAAATAGATTGGAAGGGAACTGAATTCAATGATTGTAATGAAGGAAACTTAAGAAAAGTGGAGTCTCATTCTGTTCCTTTGATAATCCTCCAAACAAAGGGAATGATATCATTCTCCCAATCACTCCCCTTCCTTTCCATTTTCCATCATTTCTAACTCACTCCCTTCCATCCTATTCGCCAAAAAGTATCCAAGAGTTTTTCATCAATGCACATCATTACAACATCCAAATCAAGCATTTTTTTTGTCCAAGCAATCTAATTCCAACACATACAAACAACCAAGGACGAGGCAGGAAAGAAAACTCTTGATCCATCCAACTTCCGAATTGTAAAGCACGTGCCTTTCATCATACCCGCGCAGTCAAAAGTCAAAACTCAGTCACGGATCAATGGACTAATGTGTTCGGTTTGGGATCAAATTTATGAACAAAACAAACCTTTTTCACATAAAACAAGGAAAATGCTAGTGTCTATGAAAGTATATTCACAAAATAATAACAATAACTAATCCTATCCATCAATTTTCAGCTACAAGGGTCACAACTAGCATGTTTTTAGCCAAATGCCAAGATATTATTTTATTTACACATAGTTAGTTTGTGTGTTTCTTATGATAAAGATACCAAACTATGAAACACGGATACCTTTAGAAGTTGACGTGTCACGATGCCCGACACTTGTGCAACACTCGTACAACACGTGTCTACAAAATCAGACATGTGTGTCCAAAAAAATTGTTTCTTCTTTTACTTCGGCACTCTATGAATTGGTGTCCGACAACTGTATGATACTCGTCACAACGCTGTCGGACAATTCAGACAAGTGTTCAAAAAAAATTGATTTATTCTTTACTTCAACACACCTTATACATTTTTTGGACAAATTTCATACCCATGTAAAGAATTTAACATGTATTAAGCAATGTTATAAATGAAGAATTGAAGTCATTAATTTTGATTAAAAGACTTTTAACTCTTTTAACGATAAATAGATAAATGAAGGTCAAATAATATCATATATGTAGCAGTATAGCAGTGTGGGTGTCCCATATTTTTGAAATTATCGGTGTGGGAGTATCCGTGTCCGTTGTCCATCTGTGTCCATATCGGAATATCAATTATAGCATCCCTCTAAACAATAACATACATAAAGCCTTTTGAATCAAGATCCATTCATTCTCCCCCAAACACTCAACTAAATTCCACAAAAATATTCACTTGATCCTCCAATTTTCTGGCGATTCAATACCAAAGAAGCACATTTAACCAGTAGTTTAGTTACATTGAATCAAAGTACAAGTCATATCCATTACAACCAGAACCGCATTAAAGCAATGTAAACAACAACGGATCATGATAAAAGCATTTATTTCAATGAGAAAAAGTGGGAATAATTAATTACCTCAGCGAAAGATGCGGAGAAAGCACTGCTGGCAAAGGTTCCGGCGAATGAGATGTCAGATTTGGACTTGGAATCAACAACCATGGCAATGATCCAGAGAAAGAAGAAGAAGAAGAAGAAAAGGTTGCGTTGCGTTTGGGTGTTGATGATTTGGATTGTTCGTTTTGTTTTCGTTTGATCACTTTTTTAGATTTGTTTTTGAAATAAGCGCTTAGAAAGAGTAATGTGTTTGGAAATTGGGTTTTTTATTAATCGGTCAATGGTTATTTTGGGAACTTTTTATGCGGCCACCGGAAGCCGTCCAAATGCAACTTTTGTACGTATTTATTCCATTATTACTCTCTCCTAAAAAGTAATAAAAGCTTGAAAAGAATAAACTTGTTTGGATGGCTTACTTTAAAAGAGTTTTTCAAAAAGTGGGAGAGATGAAAACATGCAAAGAAATGTGGTTTTTAAGAATGGCAAAATTTAGGGCGTTTCTTAGTGCATCCTTTATCTTTTTTAGTCTATCATACGAAATTATTTAAATGCTCTAGTTTTAGGAAATGTATTTTCGGACGCACCAAATTTTGAATGAACGTTGAAATATTTCGAAGACGCATTTTCGTAACAATTTAAAACATTCTATGCATCACACTAAAAAATCATTTTACATATATATTGTATCGGAGATGTATCTCTATGAATTTTATGAAGATACATCTCTGTAAAAAATCAGAACAGAATTCTTCATATTATGTTTTGTTTACGTGTATTTAGATGCAGATTTAAACTATACCATACAATCGAAAATCAAAAATAGACGTACATAAATTTAGATGGTCCAAAAATGTCATATATAAATAAAAGACTAATAAATGTCAAAAATGTCATACAATTAAGATCAATAAAGTAGCATGATGTCAAAATAAAATTCAGACCATAGTACTAGTACTATATACTAATACACTATTGTGTATGTCTGACAACCTCTATTCTAACTTTTTTGTCTCCTCTACCTCATTAGCCATCAATCTCCGCTGTCCTTTGACGTTGTCTCCGATACATCAATGTCCTTCGTGCATTCGTCATGATGGCATATAGGACTTGTCTCACATCATATCCATCAGGGAAGACACATATGTCAATGTTTGTCTGCACAATCTCCATTATGCGACGGCATCTAAGCAAGACATCCTTAGCATGATATAATTATGTCTGCACTTCTTCTGATATCTCCTATTGAGCTTGCCTTGACGGATCTCCTGGAGTAGCATGCACCATGTACGTGTGTGACACCCTAAAGAACTGTCTAATGTATCATTCAACGTAGCTCCAATCGCTCTCAACTATGGTACTTCGTGTCTCCTCCGATACCAGATATGACTCTCATAATCATCAAACATGTCATATATTTATCTATGTGTCAAGGCAGGAGGAGTAGAGACAACGGGGTGTCTAGGAATGGTCTGAGTGTAGCCGAAATGCTACATGACGCGCTCAAGCAAATGAAGTGAACTATCGTAAATGCAAATTCTACTCATTTCTAACCATAATCATCGATTTCTACTCATTTACACAAAAACTCAAAAATTAATCAAAAACTCAAAAAACTTATAAGAAATTGATGTTTATGATATTACAGATGTTGATTGAAGTTTCATTGAGCTTTGTTGATTGAGTTTTGACTTGGTGAAGAGAAAAAGTTAAGAGAGTTTGAAGTTGATTTTGAGCAAAATGAGAAATGAGGAAGGAGAAGGGGCTGACGCGATTTAACCTCTAAAATATTGCGGAGATGCATCTCCGAAATATTTTAAAGTTAATTGAGCTTTTGATGCATTCGGAGATGCATCTACATTATTTGAGGACAATTATGTATTTTCGCGTGATGACTAAGAAACTTAAATGGTGCATTAAAAAATCCTCAAAATTTATTGTTCATAATCGTGTTTCATGATTTAGGATATTACATTATAGTTGAATATAGAGTGTTGAAAATTTTGTATAATGGGTTGATCATGTTTAAAGAGTCTAAAATATGTGGGTTATATATTTTAGAAGGTTCTACGGTTATCGGTCATATATCATTAACTAATGAAGGATTTCATGATAATATCAAGTTATGAGATTTAAGATCAATACATATTAGTGAAAGAAGAAAAGACTAATACTTGTAGGTTGATTCAGAGAAGTTTAATGAATTTTGCAAGGAACAAAATATAAAGAGATACAAAATTGTTGTTTGCGTGTTAATATAGTATCTAGGTTTTCAAAGAGTTTTTGGGGTAAGGCTAAAAATAAATCAGCTAACCTAATCGAAAGTTGTCAATTCATAGGAATAGACTTCAAAACATCTATGAAGATTTGGAGTGGGAAAACGGTATACTACTTTAATCTGAAGGTCTTTAAATTTTTGTCATTTATGCAAATCAAGATAGACCAACTTGCACTACTACAAAAAAAAGTACATACTACGACGCTCATTTCACCATGGTTCAGTGAAGAACCATGGTGACATCTTGAAAATCAGGTGCCATCATTTTTATTTATTTTTTAATTAAAAATAGTTTTTATATTACCACAATTGGATAAAGCAATCATGGTGAAATTTTGTAAAGTTCATGAGTTCGAATCTTAGGGCTAACAAATTTGTAATTTTTTTAATGTTATAATGGTATCTTTCTTTTGTATTTATTTTTAAATTAATTATTTTTCAAATTTTACTACGGTTGAATATTCCAACTGTGGTGATATGTTTTACTCTTTTTTTTATTATAATTGGTGTCTTTCTTTTTGATTTATTTTTAAACTAAAAATAATTTAGATTTCATTGCGGTTGATTTAAAAGTCGACGCTTTTTTATGAAATTAAATTAAATAAATGAGATATCATCATGGTTGGTTTAATCAACCGTAGTGAAATGTTATATTCTTATTTAAGAAGGACAACTTAACTTGTCATGTCTATCAGTTGTTATTATCTTATGAAACGAAGCACACATTCATCACTGAGAAACCATTTGAACCCTAATAATTTTTTCATTTCCATTAACAAAAGGAACCATCATATTGCTTCATCTCCAACTCTTTCAACATTATTTCTTTACCATCAATAAACGTCATCATTATCGTTCTTTACTAAACGTAAAAAGCAACAAAAAAACATAGGAAAAATCAAGGAGGGACATGAGGATACTTGCAAGAAGAAAGTATGAAACTCACACAATTTAGATTTTTTACTTCTTCAACACATTTTTGGTATATAAAATATCTTTGCCATGCTTGTAACAGTAAAATATTGTTGAGATACATTTGTTTATGTTGTTGTTGTGTTGTCGAGATATTGTAGGTATTGGTATTGAGATATATATTGTTGTTGAGATATATTTGTTTATGTTGTTGTTGTTGTTGATATATATTTGTTTGTATTGTTGTTGTGTTATTGAGACATTGTAGATTTTGGTATTGATAGTTTTGTATTATTGAGATATTGTATAGTCTGGCATTGAGATATATATTGTTTTTATTGTTATTTATGTTGTTGTTTTTAAATATTTAGTTTTTATGTTGTGTTATTGTATTGATGTTTAGTGTTTAAGTCCTAGAGGTTTATTTGTTGATGTTGGCGATAATGTCAATGAAGTTATTTTATTTATTTTGTTTAGATATGTTATGATTATGTTGTTGTTGTTGATGTGTTTAGTGTCTAAACCTTAAAAGTTTATTTGTTGTTGTTGGTGGTGGTGAAAATGTTAATGAATGTCTAGTGTTTATGTTGTTGTTGTTGATGATGTTTAGTGCATAAACCCTATAGGTTTATTTGTTGATTATTGGTGAGAATGTTCATGAAATTATCATATTTATTTTATTGAGATATGTTGTGATTATTTTGTTGTTGTTGTTGATATATTTAGTGCCTAAACCCTAAAGGTTCATTTGTTTAGATATGTTGCAATTATGTTGTTATTGTTGTTGTTGACGTTTAATGATATGTTTATTGTTGTTGTTGTTATTGTTGAGTAAAATGATGGTTTTTAGTTATTAATGAGATGTGATGGTTTTTTAGTTATGTTTTTGCATGAATGATTGAGGATAATATATGTTGTTGTTAATATTGTTTTAATATTATGGTATTGGTTTTATTTTGTTGTTGTTTTCAACATAGATGGATTGTTCATTTAGCGAAACTCATACAAATGAGTTTTCTAATATAGAGGGAAAATGAAAAGAAAATAAAGTGGTGCTACAATGATGGCTAAATTAACACAAGTCTGCAACTTGAGTGATAGATTATCAATCGAGTTTAATGATAAAAATTGGATTTGATATGATACGAGTTCATACCTTTTTAGGAGTTATGTTGCATTCTTTGGACGTAGCAAAGTGAATATTTTGATAGATGATTGGATCCGTGAAATATAATTATATTGAGAAGTAAGTTTGAGAGAAGTTTGTCAAGTCTCATAGTTATGTTAATTTCTTGATTAGTAGTTATCTTATTTTCTAAATAATAGTTTTATGTTTATGCTTTATAGATACAACAATGCATATTTATATTTTTACTATGTTCATAATAGTTTAAAAGTGAATCAGGAAAGCTAAACGAGGAAAAAATAAATACCCCCATAGATTATCTCGGGGGAGGGGGTGCAGGAAACTTGAGAAAGTATTTATTAATGATAAACAAAAATTGGGAGATGAGGACTCAATAAGTTGTGATCGCAACCCATCTCCACCATCACGACATGAGAAGTGGAAAGGGTCTGACAAGGATCAACTGGAGAGTTCACTTCAGATACGTCACTTGCAATCGTTAAAAAGGTTTTAAGTAGATTATTTTGTTAATTAAAATATTAAATGTAGGATTTGTTGTTTGTAGGTTTTTTTATGTGTAATTTAAATTGCTTTGGTAATGACATCTTATTCATGTTGTGTAGGATTTGTTGGTTGATATGGTCAGTCAAGGTTCCTTTGTTTCATAAGTACGATGTGATATATTAGTATAAGGAATTATAACAAAGGAGCATGGTGGACATGTACGTGGTGTTGGAGAAGGCATCGACATGAGATTTTTCTTTGGCACATCAAGAAAGAGTAAATAATTAA